AGTGTTTTTGAAAGGCCTACCTATTTCTTTTTCTATTTTCCCTCTTTCTTTCTCCCATGCCTCTATTTTTCTCTATGGCCAATCAACTTTAGGACCAACTTTTCAGGCCAGTAAAAATCAGGTCCAACTAAAGTGGGACTAATTCTGTTTTTCAGATTAAGTCAAGAGCCACCTCAAAATTAGGAGGAAAGAAGATGATAGGTAATAGAAAGAAATAAGAATTTTAAATAAGAGTTGGTTTCATGCCTCACCCGCTTCCTGTGCTTTCCTCCCAAGTCCCATAAACTGAGGGTGCTGTTTTACAGCAAAGCTTGTAAGAATAGATAGCTATATTGAATGGCATTTTAAACTAGTTTTAATTATATGTTCTATCTTATGGCTTTAATTTCTTTGACTTGTTATTTCCTATTCCTTTTCTCACTTCTTTTAATGTTTCCTGTCCCCAAAGGGAATAGCAAGATATTTAGGGATATTTACTGGGAAAGGCATCAAGATCTTTTCTTTTACTATAAGGAATGGAAACAGGTTGAACAATAAAGATTTCTGGAGATGCTCTGTCCATTTGATAAACAAAGATCTCTACGGAAATCATCAAGGACATTATATAGACCTTCCCAGCTTTCTGTTGCAGATACAACTATACATACTGATCCATGTTATTTCTAAGGGATATACAAAATGACAATGAACATTGTGTTCTTCTATATGAAAAAAGCACAAAGGAGTCTTCTGGGAGTTCCAAGTAATTCCAAGTAATTTGTGGCATCATATGTACCCAAAGTTCCAAACTTTTCAAATATTTCCAAAAGTATTCTAGACTTCCAAAATTCCAAGTAATTTGTGAGATAGTATGTTCTGCCTAGATCATCTAATGGGGTAATAAGTCCTAGATGAACCTATAATCTTTTCAATTAATTAGGTTTTTAGATGATTTTGTTACTCTTTTGCATGCTTCCAGTTCTGAAGCTATTCTGACAGATTCCAAATTAGGATGGTGCCCTTTTTTAGCAATCTACTGGAGGTTAATAATTAACATGAACACTTCCTAAACCATATTAAGCATTTTTGATAGGCTCAGCATGAAGCAATTTCTTTTTCCAATGGACTTAACCAATTCCATGCCAATGCAGAGAATTCTAAAGAATTAAGAACAATTATATCATTAATACTTTCTCCATGTCAGCTGAAAGTAAACGACTTAGACTGATTGGAAGCTAAGATAAACTTTATATCTGTACAATTAGCACAGGTGCCCTCCTGGGCTGTGTGCTCTCTCCACTTCTCTGTTTATACCAAACAACTGCATCTCAAAGGATCTGAAGTTTGCAGATGATACAACAGTGATTGATCTCATTCAAGACAATGATGAATCTGCATACAGATGGGAAGTTGAACAACTAGCTCTGTGATACAGCTGGAACAATCTTGAGCTGAACACACTCAAAACTGTAGAGATGATTGTAGATTTTAGGAGAAGCCATCCTATTCTACCACCTCATACAATACTAGACAACATAGTATCAACAGTAGAGCCCTTCAAGTTTCTAGGTTCTATAATATCTCAAGATTTAAAATGGACAGCTAACATCAAAAATTTCATCAGAAAAGCACAACAAAGGAAATTCTTCTTGCACCAACTCAGAAAGCTCAGACTGCCCAAGGAGCTGCTCATATAGTTCTACAGAGGAATTATTGAGTTGTTATTTGTACCTCTATAACTGTCAGACAGACACAGACTTCAATGAACAGTAAGGACTGCAGTTAGGACTGCAGAAAAAACAATTGCAACCAGCCTGCCTCCCATTGAAGACCTGTATACTGCACAAGCTAGAAAAAGACTGTGGAAATATCTACCCCCCTCACATCCTAGACATAAACTGTTTCAACTTCTTCCCTCAAGATGACACTACAAGGCATTGTACACCAAAACAACCAGACACACAGTTTTTCCCCAATACTATCACAACTAGTTCCCACAACACTGTCTTATGCCCTGGGATGTCAAACCACCTAGTAGGGGTGTATTACTATTATCCTTCTCATCTTTCCTATTACCTATTCCTTAGCTTCTTATGACTATAACTTTTTTGTATCTTATGATTTATGTTGAACCAGGATGGCACAGTGGTTAGAATGCAGTACTGCAGGCTACTTCTGCTGATCACTGGCTGCCAGCAGTTTGGCAGGATCTCACCAGCTCAAGGTTGACTCAGCCTTCCATCCTTCCAAGGTGGTAAAATGAGAACCCAGATTGTTAGAGGCAATATGGTGACTCTGTAAACCGCTTAGAGAGGGCTGTGAAGCATTGTGAAGTGGTATATACAGTAAGTCTAAGTGCTGTTGCTATTGATTGTTACTATTTAATATTTTATATCTTATTATTTGTTTGTATTTTAAGATTATGTTGAGAGTTTCTATTTAGTATCCTATCATGATTTATGTTGATTGCTATTTAGTATCCTATGACTGAGTGTTGTACTTTATAATTTATGATAGTTGTATTTTTGATTATGATCATCATTTATCACTTGTCTGAGAGCTTATGCACCAGAGACAAATTCCTTGTAGGTCCAATTACACTTGGCCAATAAAGAATTCTATTCTATTCTATTCTATTCTATTCTATTCTATTCTATTCTAT